AAAAAAAAAAAAAAAAAAGGAAGGAAGGAAACTAATGAAAACAGATAAATTTCAGCTTATTTCCTTAACTATTAAACTAGGCAGCAATATGTCAGAGGCATATGTGTGTTAATTTACTCGTTTATCAAATATTCAATAATCTATGTAATCAGCATTGTGACAAGGGAGAGTTAAAATATAAAGTCAGTAAGAAAAAAATATGGTATATCTGCCCTCACAGAATTTATCAAGTAGTTGGGGAAATAAAATTAAACAATTAGAGAAGTACAAAACTATAAAGTTTGACTATAATGACAATGACACAGAAGACAGATTGATGTGGATATGAGTAATTACAGAGAAAGTCAAATTTGATTCAGGCCTCGAAGATTTTTGCCAACGATTTGAGAAGGCTATAAAGAAGAAAGAGTAAGAACATTTGTGAAAGAATGGCCTATGTTGTAAGTAATGAAGACAATGATCGCAGGGGTTTAATTTGGCCAAGGAGGGGAAATAAAGCTAGTTAAATAGGGTAGATCCGAATTACAGAAGACACTAAAAGCAAGGGGAAAGAGTTCAGACTTGCTAGACCAGATGAGCAAAGGATACTGTAGAAGCAGGTGAGCAACAGGATAAAGCTATTTCCCATGAAGGCTGTTTTAATTGGTTACTACTATTATCAAGCCTACCCAACTCCTACCCCTCAAGTACATTTCAACAGAGGCCTTGTCTCCTACTTCCCAGAGAAAATGAGATCATCAGGTAAATTCTTAAGTTTCTAGCCCAATCTTTCTAATTCATTCAGCAAACATTTATTAAGCACTTACTGAGTGCTAAACAAGCACTGTGTTAGGAAGAGGAAATAAAAATAAACAGAAGGTTTCCTGATTCTGAAGGGTTTAGAATCCAATGGAAGAGACAGAAGAGTAAACAAATAATTATAATAACATGAAAAGTAATGTGATACAAACACAAGTTTGTATAAGGAGCTTTGGAACATGGAAGAAAGACAGAACGGTAATCAAGTATTTAAAATAACAGAAAAAGGTAACTGCAGTAAGCACAGGCTTGTATAGATGCTAAGGGAACAGAGGAAGAAATGCCTAAGTCTAGGAAGACAGGTAAAGATGACACAGAGGAAGTAACATTCGAACCAACTGGAGTAACACGTAGGAACAAACCAAGGAGACTAGAAGGGGATGGGCAGTATTAGGCAGAAAGAACAGCATGCAAAAAAGCCCAGGGGTGTTAGATCAGGGAGTATTTGGGAAATTCTGAGTATTTCAGTATGGTTGATGGGAGGAGGAAGATTAGAAGACGAAGCCAAAAGGTCAGGCAGTGATGTACTGTAGTCAGGGGTGTTAGATCAAGGTGTATTTGGGAAATTCTGAGTATTTCAGTATGGCTGATATGAGGAGGAAGATTAGAAGACAAAGCCAAAAGGTCAGGCAGTGATGTACTGTACTCCTGACTCTGACTCCCAAAAAACTCTGGGATGCCTTGCAATTGTAGCTAACTTATTGTGTTAAAATGTAAAATTCACTTATTACCTATCATGCACTAAAGAGTTCACATAGCAGTCACTACACTGCCTATCTTTAAGAAGGTCTGCTGGCAAGTTTAGCCCTTGACAGGAATTTGGGAAAATAACTGGTAAACAGTTCCCTACACTAGAATAGAACTTTGCCTAAATGGTACGTGTGGCTTACTTTGCCTAGACTATGCAAACACTATGGTTTATGCAGAACACGTGCATTGAAGTGTGAATGTGGGTACATGCCAGGCAGAGGATGCCTATGCAATTCATTTCTGATAGAAAACTGTGGACTCATAGTAGGCTCAGGTGAGGTTCCTTGGTAGAAAATACTTCGCACACGTTGTCACAACTCATGGCTGGCAGTATTAAAGTACGTCCTGTGCCTCTACTGGGAGAGGAAGTTTGTGCCTGCTTTCCTCCAGACTTTGCTCCAGGTACCTTTTTCAAAGCTGATTTTGCTTTGTATTCTTTTGCTGTAATAAATCACAGCCTTAAGTATAACTGTAGGTTGAATTTAAAATCATGGAACCTGGCAGTGGTCTTGGGGACCCCCAACAAACCCAAATTCTGTACCCTGTTATACAGACATCTAAGGCTCAAGTTTCATTGACATAAGTAATGGAAAAAAAATCTTGGCCTTGCTTCTCTCCTTTTTCTTCCACACTGACTATCAAATTCTTTTGATTTTTCCCTAAAATATCATAAACTGTCCCTTCTTCTTTTCTATCTCCCGCTGCTGCCAGATTAATCTCTTTAAAAGTTCAACTTCATGATATCTAGCCTATGATCACAAATTTCTATCAGTCTGTTAATATCTACAAGATAAAAGTCCAGCCTAGCATTCGAAGTTTGGTACGGTCTATCCTCTCTAATCTTAGGATCCATTACTCTCTCAGAAATATGAACAAATATACCACACTTACACCTCCAAGACTTTCATAATATCACCTCCCACCTGGAATGTTATTCTCCCCCCTCAACAACTCCCCACCTTCCTTATCCAAACCTGCATTTTTTTTGTGGTCCAATTCAAGTCCCACTTTCTCCAACAAATCTTTCTTAATTATTTCAGCGTATACTCATCTACCTGTTTGCTTAATTCCAAAGTACTTTTTACATTTCACTTTTAAACACTTAAATGTTGCCTTGGATAATTATTTTATATATGTATATCACATTC